CAATTCACGCAAACAGCCATTTCGTTGCGCCAGATGATAACTAACAAAAAATTTGCAATTTAACACGTGACTTGTGAAAAAAATCACTGCCAGAGGTTAATTTTCTTTATTGAATGCCGGTATTTTGTATAATAAAAAAATTGCAAAGTGCTTGGTAATTTAATAAAGTAAATATTGTCAAATCACAGTCATATAATATAAAAGAATTTATTTTTTCGAGACTATTAGTAAATCAGTTTTAAGGTGATGAGGAATTCTAGTAGAATTTTCTCACAATTATATGAGTTTCACATAGTCTTGTTTTTACAAAAGTTGTTCTTTCCAGGGTGGGCTGCAGTTTTGACCCCGCCTATGAATTATCAATATCCCCAGCGGGAGTCGAACCCTGGCAGTGCAGCATGTAAAATGACACGTTAACCATTCAGCCACATTGCATTGAGTGCTTGGGGTGTTGACAAGAACTAGGCGAGGTCGAAACTACAGTCCACCCGGGATGAAAACAACTTTTTGGAAAGCAAGCTATATGAAATTCAATGATAAGTCAGCTCTATCTATCTTTTTATCTAGCCCCAAATATGTATTTCCCTTCATTCTATTTGACAATCCTCTAAAATAATTGTCAATTAGCCCTCCTTGATAGGTATTCTCCACCAGAATTTGCCTTAGACTCCTCAATTCCTGGTCCTGATGTTTAACTTCTGTCAGACGCATACTCCTTGTTATCATAAACTGCATAACTCCTACTTTAATCCCATAAATGGGGTTGGAGAATAAATAAAAGGTTCTCCAACATCAATATATTAAGGGATTCTCCTAAACTCAGTTTTTCTACAATACTGACAAGTTTCACCGACGATGCCATCGAAATGTCTGGGATTGCACCAAGTCTACAGTCCAGACGCAGGCTCCTTATTATCATACTTTAACTCCATAACTGTGGTTGGAGAAGAAATTCAAAAATAAATCTGCATTTGTGGGTCTCCTATACCTAATCTGGTCCCCTCTTTGCTAACTATGGCATGAAAAATAGGTATACCACCTTTCTTTTCCAACTTCCGGTGGAAGCAAATTACGAATTCCTTGCACTCACCTCTTTAAACGAAATGAAAGGTACCCCAATATTAATCTTTTAAGCGATTCTTCGAAATCCAGTTTTTCGACATACCTAATTGAAGTTCACTGGCTCATTGTAGGAAACCTTAAATGACAGTTTTTACAGTTGGTTTGACCTCGTTTTCGGGGCCACAGAGAGATCATGCGAAATCTACCTAGTTCTGCTCCCTCTGGCATAGTATCCTAATGACTTTCAGTATCGGACCGTTGAATTTGTACATTCCACATAGTTATTCTTTCGCCTTTAAACGTGGCAAAGTTCCTATTAGAATTAACTGTATGTTGACTAATTTTTATTGACAATAGAATAGTTTCACATTCATTGTTATATAAATAAAAAATAAACAGCTAAAAATTAGTGGATGTCGCAACATTTACAATAATATTTCTACAAAAGATGTAAAATTTGTGGTATTATTTACAAAAATTTAAATGAATGCTATAAAATCAAATATTTATAAATAAAATCTTTTATAAATTGTTTAAATGGCTATTGCAGTCAGCTGAACACCCTTTGTTGTTATGGTATTGACCTACTTGTCACGGAACTATTCTGCTTATTTCTCAGAAAATTTTATGCATTTTACAAATATCTATTTAAAATTACACTGAAATATTTTTTTAAATTAAGAATTGTAAATATTTTACCCTGGATTTTTATTTTTATTACACACATTACAGCTGTCTCCCGACCTGATTTTGACCGCAAAGGCATCATCTGCCGTGGCGCACCTACGGCTGTGACCGTATTATCCGGTTCTTGTGTTTTAGAGGTTGTCATCTCATACGATTCACGCTAAAGTTTTTTCGTTATGTCAATTGACCAAGAAACGGCCGAGCGAAGACGTAACTATCCTGACTTTCGTGAGGAAATATGCAATAAAAATCGCAGGTGAGCCTCGCCACATGTGGCGCCATATTGGTTTACGTCTAGTGTTGTTGTGTGATGTACAGTCTCTATATGCCCATTTTTGCTTAGTTTTTTACTATTTGTTCTATTTTTTTTTGTTCTTATTCACTTTTGTCCTTAATTTATCTGCTGACTATTGCTTAATCTGACACACGAGTTGTCATTTTTGTCGCTAATATGACTTCTTTTTTTTTATTTTCCGAAGACCGACACTTGATGCTCTCCAGCAAAAAATTCCCCGCATTCAACCGGAAAGCGAAAAACGCGTAAGGCGAGAAATTGCTAATTGTAATGAACGAAGACGTATGCAAAGTATAAACGCTGGATTTGACGCCCTTAGGATTTTATTGCCGCCAATGCAGGATGGTGAAAAAATTAGCAAAGTAAGTTGGATTTTTTATATTGCTTTTTTAAGGCTACTATCCTTCAAATGACCGCAAAGTATATCAATTCACTTATGGCTCGTGTGAATTTGCTAGAAAAAGAGGTTGCTGTGTATCGGCAATCTGTTGGCTCAGACCATGTTGTGGCCGCTGAAAATGATGCTCCGGAATCAGGCGGATTTTCTCGGAAAAGAAAGAATGGTGATCTCTGTAGATCCCCCTTTTCCGCCGTACAGATCAAATCTAACGTAACGGAAAAATCATCTGAGCCTTCTCGCATGCGTAGGAGGAAGGCAGAAACATCATCTGTTCGCTACGATCCCCAAGAGGGAGTGACAAGCATACATTATGTTCCAATTGAACAGGATTCTATGCCATTTCAGGCGGTTAGTGGCACCCTAACTGCCAGAAACTACACAATTATTTCTCCTTCGAGCTATGTGTCAGAATCGCCCAGACCCGAAAGCACGAGCAGCACGGCCGCACGTCTAGAGCATCTTGTGATGGCGATTGAACAGATAGAGGGCGGCCGGACACTAAATGTTTCCTCTGATCAAGAAAGTCCGGAAGAATGTAGTCTTTCTGTTGATCCTTCTCCCACCATGCCGAGTGATTCATTATTTCATCAAGGTCAAGAGAATTTTACATTTACTTATGCAACACCGCAACAAGTATCTATCTTGAAGCCAACCTCAGATGTGTTTCCCGAGATTTTTGCTCAGTCTGGAGATATTATACCCACTGACCTTACCGATGTTTGTAAACGGAAACTCTCCGAAAGCAGCTCATCTGGTGAATATCCCATTGTCGCTAAATTGCTCAATCGTCCAATTCCTCACAAATACCTGCATAGGCCGCAAGTTGTTGTTAATAGTACCCACTGATTATAGTTGTTTTCGATGCGCTTACTTTTGTTTTTTAACTAGACGCATCCTCATTGCCTCGTTCTCCCGATGATTATGACATTTTTTGACCGAGGATCGGCCTATTACTTCGCAGTTGTAAATAAATTCATAGCTATATGCATCAATTCTAGTATATAATCCTCAAATGTAAACCCTATAGACGGTGAAAT